AAAAAGGAGCATAGCAAATTTACTCAGAGGTTCGGGAGTGCCTGAGATAGGAAATAGAGGAAACGAAAAGAAAGTAAAAATAGCTACAGCCCACCAAAACACTCACAACCCAGAAAGATACAGATCACGGAGAAAAAAAAAAAAAAAAAGAAAAAAAAAAAAAAAAAAAAAAAAAAAAAAAAAAAAAAAAAAAAAAAAAAACCAAACATCACGTACGTAGGAACAAGGAGAAAACGTAGCAAGGGGGGGGTATCACGGGCAGTCTCTTTGCTGAAACTTTTGCGAGCTGAACTTCTTGAGAGGGATGAGGATTGAGGAGCAGGAAATAAGATATGAAGTGTGAAAAGTGAGCTGGAGCTTCCATGAAAACAAGGGAGAGAAGAAATTGAAACAAAACCGAAAGGGTGAGAATGGCAATCAAAGACTGACAGCTAGTTCCATTACATGTAAGTGGAATTTTGGCGGCTGCATGAGCTGGAGCTGCTGATGCTGCTACCGCCGCCATCACTGCTTGGTGTCTGGGGCTCAACGACGACCTGTTGTCGAATAGAGACGATCCATTCGTGCTGTAGCAGCTCCGCGGCTGTGGGTCTCTTCATGGGATCGCATTCGAAACAACGGCGGAGGAAATCAATGCCCAGGTCGCTGAGTTGATCGCGTGAAGGTAGTTGGGGCTGATTTCCCTGAGCAATGTTGTACATGATTGCCCACTCGTTGTCTAGGGTAGACCATGGTCGGCGACCGGTGGCCATCTCCAAGATCACACAGCCCAGTGACCAGATGTCGACGGCTCCCTGGCGGTGGATTAACCTGGAAGAATCGCCGCGAATCACTTCCGGAGACATGTACATTGGTGTTCCGGTCATCGTCTTTTGGTTCTTGCCCCGCTGATGCGCCATTTGGGAGTCCTTGGGAACGAGAGCATCCTTGTGACCAGCTCCGGTGAAGGCGTCCATCGGAACTACGGTCTTGCCCTGGCGCGCAATGATTTTGGCAGCGCCAAAATCGACATACTTGATAATGCCGTTATGGTCGAGAAGGATGTTCTCAGGTTTAATGTCCCGGTGGACAATACCGGCTTGGTGTAGGTATGCCAATCCTTCGAGCAGTTGGAGAGCATAGACCATAATGACTGTCTCATCTTCCACACGGCCATGCTCAAGCAAACTGGCCAGAGAGCCGCCAGAGCAATATTCCATGAAAATATAGACCTTGTCTCGATGAACCTCGATACCATGGTAGGAAACTATGTTAGGGTGATCAAGGACCTCCAATACCCCCATTTCATCCCGAATCTGCTGGGCAATCTTCGGAATAAGTTGAGGGTCTTGAAGACGAATTTCCTTGACCGCCATGAGATAGTTGCTGTCGAGGTTGATGGCGGCATAGACAGATCCAAAAGTACCACCTCCGATGTATTGACCTTGCTGCCATCTAAGTGTAACGTTAGTCGCAGAGGACGAGAGGACCGCAAGAGATCGGTCAGCCTCGTTGGACCCTTCAAGTACTCTTCCGAGGGCCTGGCGCTTAGCATCTTCTTCCACTCGCTTATCTTCGATGTCATGCAAGCGAGCCAAACGCTGCTCGCGAACAAGTCTTGTAGCTTCTGCATCTGTAAGGATCCGGCCAGCGCCGATTTTCCGGGCTCCCGCACGTTCCTCCATGCGCTGCTTCTCCGCTTGGGCTGCAAGCGACGAACGGGCACCCATGATATCGAAGTGAGAAATCAGCAACGACATGCATCCGGCCACTTTTGATCTCAATTGACCGAATTGGGAATCGTCCATTGAGAGAAGGTGTCTGCTGGACGTGATGGCCATTGCGGATTCAAGGGCAGCCACGGCCCATTTAAATGTCTTTCTGTCAGCGGCATCGCAGTCATCGCAAATGAAAGAAACCCATTCTAGTGATAGTTCGACAAGTCTAGCGCTATTCATAGCACGTCGGTTAGGGTCGACATAATTTGAAGAACGCTTGCCAAACTCTGTCGCGAAAGCATAGCAGGATTGGATAAGCTCCGTGTTCTCTATGCCTCTCGATTTCAGTTGGTCCTTGATGATCGCAACACTGTCCATAATAGTCATGGAAAGCTTGAATGAGATCTTCTTAATCTTGTTCAGCTCCACGTTGACTCGTCCAAGGTTCGCTCGTTGTTCAATAGCCATGTCCAGCTGTATTCCAGTCAACTGAACCAGCTCATGCCGAGCATTGGCGAGTCGTTGCTGCGTTCCCTCAACTACAAGACGACACTTGCCGAGTCGGACATCCGTGGGTTGTTCCAGGAAATCAACCTGCATCTCCTTACCGGCCCAGGACAGGGGCTTTTCGGGGCGGATTACCAAAATATAAGGTGTGTGGACCGAGTCCTTGGGTACATCTTCTTCTCGAAATGAGGTCGCAAGAATCGCTTGGATGTCTGTAGGTCTGTTCCACAGCGCATGATGCGCAAAGAGGTAGACACCTTTCTGGCCGACAGAGGCGTTTGACCTCACCAGGAAATGATCCGAAATGAGCAACGCCTCGAAGAAATCGTACGCGATATCAGCCGAGATATTGTACTCTGTAGCGTTTTCAAACAGTTGACGCAGGAAGCGGGAGAATCGGTAAAGCTTCCGTTGTCTGATTCTCGTGGAGTCGAGCACACTTTTGTATCTCTTATCCATATCGATTGGGTCTTCATTTGGCCGTGCCGTCAACTCACGCTCAAAATGGATCATTAGACGTTGAAGTGACTTGGCCGTCAGAGCACTAGAAATTCTTATTAGCAATCGCGTGTACTTGGAGATAGAAGGAGAACCCATACCTGAATTGTTCAGCAACCTCGATGTCACCACCTTCGAGTTGGCGACCAATGTCGTTCGAAAATTCCCAGTCCTGCTCCAGGATTTCGGCTTCCTTGAATGTATTCTTATTCACATTCAATTTCCAATTCAAAAGGCGAAAGTAGTATTTCAAGGCATCCAATACCACCGAGTCGAAGTTCTCATCAATGCAAGGTGGTAAATCCCATCCGGGCTCAGGTCTCGATATATCAAGATAGCGTTGTTTGATGTCAACAGCGACTTTCATCAGTATCTGAAACTGCGATATCATCTGGTCGACGAGAATCGGTGATTGTTGCGCAGGGTCCTTCATGTTCTTGGCGTAAGATAAGCGAACGCGAATGATTTCTTGGATGAGGCGCGAGGGAAAATTGATCAGTGTGAGAAGCTCTTCAATGTATGGAGGTAGATGCCGTTGGGCGAATGAGCCCGCGTTTTCAATCAGCGTGGTCTTCGCTTTCTTGATCACCTCGCCAATGCCGTTGAGCATATTGTGATCTCCTTGGAGGGTCTTGAGACCGTCTTCCTTCATAATGCGATCGAGGAATGACGATCCGTCCGAGAGATCGCTGTTGACGGATTTGATCTTGGGTTTGCTGAAATCAAGTTCATCATTGCCTACCCACTTCTGCAGAATGGCCAGTTCGGTGTTGATGAGGGCGATAGTGTTGTGCCACGCGAAGACGGCCTCGCGGCTTGAGCAGAATTCCTCCGATGCCACTCGAGGGTTTGCAGCTTCCAACTCTTTATGTGTAGAGTACAGCATCTCGCATTCCTCGATCTTTTGGACAATGTCCTCGACCTGCTTGATAGGCGACTTGCCAATCTCAGTCTCACCCTTGATTTTGAAATTAATAATATCTTCAACGATCGGTCCAAGACCAGCTCTACCTTCCTCAATGACCTTTCGTTGTAAGGCCACACTCCGGCCGCATGTTCTGGCTCGAACTCCCAACCAGATCGCATTGTTCTGAGCCGCGGACCTTTTTGTCTCCGTTGAGCCAAGCAGTCTTTGTTTCTCCTGTTTGACAACATCTCCTCTTAAGACAGAGGCCAACATAGAATGCCACTCGAGTCTTTCTTGATTTTTGGGGTTCTTGAGCTCCTCGAGCGTGGGTTGGTTATCATCCGGGAGGAACAGCTGAATGTCAGGATCATATGCGTCATCTTCGAACGGAGCCTCCGACGACGGGGAAGGCTCCTCCAAATCCGAGTCACCCGGCGTCAAACCCATGTTCTGGGCATCGTCGAAATGGCTATACCACGCCTGTGGATTTGCCCGAATGCGTTGGACGTACGCCTTTTCTTGGGCCCGGTATTGCGCATTAGGATCACGTCGAGAACTCCTTCTTGTCGACGAGGACCTTTGGCGGTCGTTCTGGAGGCTAATGTATTGAGGTGGACGTCTCTGGGGTGCGTAGGTGTTGGATGGGGTCCTGGCGGGGCCAGACGGGCGTTGTGGTCGCAATTCTCGATCGGTGAGAGGGAGGCCGTCGACAGGCGGGACTTTGTCGAGAGCAGCGCCTGCACCGACGCTGGAGCCACGGGGGCGCAGACCTGGTGTGCTGGCCCAGGCTGGCAGACAGGTAGCGTGCGAGGAAGGAGGAGACGAAGCGATAGTGGTGACTACCGGAGCTTGGTCGAAGATTTCTGGAAAGGTAGAATTGGCCCTCATTGCATACGGCTGCTGTAGAAGTTCGTCGGAAGACCCTGAGCTGTCCGAGTCATGGTTGGGAATATCAGGATGCTCCATGACTCGAAATTCACGATCCTGAGGCGACTCCATCTTGCATGGCTTTTTAGGCGGTTTGGTCCTGTTGGCGGACGGTGAATGAGGAGAAGCCGGAGCTCCAAGCCCGAGACTTGATAGGGGTGTGGCGGTGCATTCCGGGGTCCATTAGTATTTACTGTTTGTCTAAGGCCGCCACACGGCTACACATGGCCTACAGAATACAGTCTACCAGCTTACTAGCGCAGATTTCTTCTGAAATTTGCCTCTCTGGCCAGAGTGAGTGAATTGGACAGTTATCATAGCTTTTAATCTTCATTGTCTGCAGTAATTGCTTGAGTTGTGTAGATGTTTTTCAATCAAATTTACCTTGGCTCTTCGGACCCGAATCGTACAGAGATTTCCCTCTCATCATTTAGTAGAGCAGAAAAAGCTGATGGCAAAATTGATAGCTCCTTTGAAAAACATATACCAAAATATCTTCACCACAAATGCTTTGAGGGTTTCCGGTTCATGTCCCTTGAATGACATACAGTGTACGATGGCCTCAGTCACCACTTTGTTGTGACTGAATCAATACCTGCTCGGTCTGCACGCTTTAGGAGCTATTCGACCTTTTACAGATTCACTCGACTCGCCAACGGCCATGGGATTGGGACTACAACAAGAGAGAGGCTCTCGAAACAGCTGATGGGCTTCGAGGTAGCACCGTTGAAGATCGAAAGGCACCAGAGATGCTCTCTTGATATATATATAGATAGGTAGGTAGTAGCACTCGCGTTGGACTGAGAATCTGCTATGCGGATACTGGAATCCAAGCACAGTCCCATTTGGAGTTCAATGATCAGCAACTATCAAGAAATAAGCCTACTGAATATTTACTTTGATAATCAAGAATAGCAATTTATGCATAGAATCAATAAAACCGAGGGGATATACCAGTGCTGATCAGTGGGACTCGATGTTCCCAAGTTGGAGCGTGCGGATCTACATAAACATCCTCTTCAACATATCTGGAGTCTGGAGTTCTGGATACGTACTGAAGTCTTGACTTTCTGGACCTAGTGAGCTTCAGGAGAGCCACAGCCTTGTGGAGAACATAGTAGACATCTGATTCTGCGGGGGAATGTGATGTCTGTCTCCTTTGAAAAAGTCAACGCTCTAGATAGCCCAATAAATATGTATTTCCGACGCTGTAGAGATCTGCCAGATTGGTATCTGCATGTTATGGAGCTGACTAGCTGTCGAAAAATATGTGCTTTGCTACAGCAACTGGTATCTATTTGTTTTTTGGAATTGACTCCTGAAAATCCTGCAACCTGGCAATAGTCATATGCACGACCAGGGCTGAGGGCTAAAGGGCTTACAGTACACCTCCACGTGCTTCTGAAGCAATAGCTAATGACAGAAACAAAGAAGGGATGGGATAGTCTTCCCAATTGGTGGTCATTCGTCGCCTTGACAAATATTTACTACATTGGAAAAGCAGGAGCTGGAGGAGCATCAGTTGTTTGGGACGGAGATTGTCATCCTACTAGTACTTTAAGGTACCTACAGTATACAGCATCCATGCCATTTTTGACATCTCTGCAAGAGTTCAGTTACTACTGAAGCACTGATAGGTGCCAAGCTCTCTAATCCGAACAGGTCGAGATGCTGAAATCGAACTAAATCACCCGGCCAATAGGACCAGAAATCCTTATCTTCTCTCGACCTCAAATCTTCCGAACGCAAGGTACCTAGACTACCCAAGGTAGTACGAAAGTACCTAGGCAGTACGAAGTAGGTATCTATCAAAAGGCTAGCATGCTAAGGTACCTTATTCAATGGAACAGCCTGAGGTTGAAAGCAGTCACCTTACGCACTTAGGTGGTCTGCTGTATGAGTCCGTGTGGGCAATCCGAACATGCGCAAGATGAAACGTTGGAATATCGCTCAATCATGATGGGCCCATGCCATTGGACCCTTACCTTCTACTAAGTCTACACAAAAGGTACCTTATAGATGAGAAGTTGTCAGATGACAGGAGGGAGATACCTACTTACCTCGAATCTGAGATGTTCCCATGAGGTCAGAGGAACTGGCTGATAAGGAAGATAAAGCGACTGTTGATTGGTTGTTTGACTCAAGATAACGGACTGATAAGCGAACTCACTGGAAAGCCAGAAAGCACCTCAAGTCAATCCTGAAATTCTATTGTTTTTGATACAAGCAACAGTTGACATACTGCTAGGAAAAGCCACCCACATAGGCTAATTGCGGTACCAGCGGCTTGTCCTTCCTTAGGTTCCTATTAAACCCGAAACACGAGTCAAGTGTGTTGACTCTGTAACTACGGAGTATGGTGTAAAGTACCTCAGGTAGCGGAGGACATTCGCAATGTCAACATCGCTCAGCATAGGGACCAATTGCACATCATTGTCTGCCTATGAAATCCAGACGGGCGAATTTATCTTAGCAGCCAACCTATATCACAGTACTTTCCTTTGAAGGACGGGAATAATTAAGAAGAATGGATACCTGGATAGGTAAAGGCCTTCGTAGTACCTATCAGGCGAGGATTGGCAATAGAGCTGCTGATTGGCCCGGAGCAACTTCATATCTACAACCACTCTCGATGCACGTCTCGTTCCCCAATCATCTCGAGCTACGGATTATCTACATATCCTCATGATTCTCATCAATTTCTCGGAGACTTTGTCAACGATAATGAGAAATGGTAACCACGGTTTCGATGTTATCGTCTAATCTGCTATATGGCCTCCTATCATCGCATCTCAGTCATCCTCGTTAAGGTTTCCCCAGAAGGGTCTTAGACTTCCAGTACTGGTCCATGATGGTCATACTACTGGACCCAAAAAGATAGACTGAGTTGAAGGCCCCTTGGTAGACGGACTAACGTAGAGGTCTGCTTCCTGGACATCATCATTCTTGTCATCATAATTATTCATGGTAAGACAAAAAACTAATCGTCCATGGGCTTATCCATCGCCTTGCACCATGAACCTAGTAAGGCTTGGCCTGATTATGGTCTGATATCTATCACAATCATTAAATTTGACTACTATCAGCCTGATGAGCCATGGCTATGGACCTTCCCCTAGCGCCCGATAGTGGAGCATTGTGTGTTTGATTTCAGGAACTATGGCCATGGCTCCATTGTTCATGGCGTTTCTGACTTGTATCAGCATCGCATATTTATGGGTCTGGCCCTCTCACCCTGTCACATTTTTCCCTTTTCTTCTTCTCGTGTTCAGCTTTGGCCGACGTCTTCGACTCTGATTCTGCAACTCATTCCTGCTCAGTACCTGCCTCGTTGTATCTCGGGACTTCAGCTTTCTATCATTGGATATCTAGCACCAGGGCAAGTAGGCCTTGGTCAGTGACCTGCAGCGAACGAATCATCCCTATCAACCGCTCTGTGCTGTGCTGCGGGTGAGGTTTCACAATGGCGGAATACCCGGTGGCCTACAATGGCACCACAGCAACAGGTGGCGACTCCTTGACGGAGGATTTGAACATATACTACAGCGTTCGTCAACCTCACTGTTGCAGTAAATTGTGCTGGAATGAACGCCTGTGGCTGACATGTCCCTCTAGTCCGGTGACATTGCGTGGGTGGTCACCTCAACCGCATTAGTTCTGCTTATGATTCCTGGTGTTGGGTATGAACATGTGACGACTCATCTCCAAGTCAAATGCTAACGGCCTTCAGCTTCTTCTACTCTGGTCTCGCCCGTCGAAAGTCGGCCCTCTCTCTGATATGGCTCTCGATAATGTCTGTCGGTGTCGTTTCCTTCCAATGGTTTTTCTGGGGCTACTCACTAGCCTTTTCCCATACTGCTGGAAAGTACATTGGTGATCTGTCGAACTTTGGATTCAAGGGTGTTCTGGCGGCGCCTTCGGTCGGCAGCACCAAGGTGCCGGATCTGCTCTTCGCTGTGTTCCAGGGAATGTTTGCTTCCATTACGTGAGTCTCATACTCAAGCATCCCCGTCGTGCTTGAGGATAGGACAACTAACAACTCAAAAGTGTAGCACTTGCCGTCGGTGCCGTCGCCGAACGTGGCCGTATGCTTCCTTGCATGGTTTTCTCCTTCATCTGGTCCACGATCATCTATGACCCTATCGCTTGCTGGACATGGAATTCCTCCGGCTGGGTCTTCAAGCTCGGCGGCTTGGACTTTGCGGGTGGCACGCCTGTGCACATTGCCTCCGGTTCAGCGGCATTGGCTTACTCTTTGATGCTCGGAAAGCGCCGTGGACATGGCACCCATGAGCTCAACTACCGCCCTCACAACGTCACCCACGTCGTCATCGGCACCGTGTTCCTCTGGGTGGGATGGTTCGGATTCAACGCTGGCTCAGCCCTTGCCGCCAACATGCGAGCTGTCATGGCGGCCTTTGTGACAAATCTCGCTGCCTCTGTTGGTGGTGTCACTTGGTGTCTTCTGGATTACCGACTCGAGAGGAAGTGGTCTACCGTGGGTTTCTGCTCGGGAGTCATTGCCGGCTTGGTCGCTATTACTCCTGGATCTGGCTTCGTGCCTCCATGGGCCGCTTTCATCTTCGGTGTTGTCGGCGCCATCGCTTGCAACTATGCCACCAAGCTCAAATATTGGCTCAAGATCGATGACGCCTTGGATATCTTTGCCGTCCACGGCATCGGAGGACTTGTTGGCAACATCTTGACTGCCTTCTTTGCCGCGTAAGTATTCTTTCAACTAAGGACACTGATATATGACTGACATGCGTGCTGCCAGTGACTACATTGCGCACCTCGATGGCTTCACCGAGATCCCCGGTGGATGGATTAACCACAACTGGGTTCAGCTCGGGTACCAGCTAGCCGACTCGGTTACTGGCTTTGCATACTCTTTCTTTGGTAGCTGCCTCATTCTCTTCCTCATCAACTTGATCCCTGGTCTTAGCCTGCGCGCTGCCGAAGAAGATGAAATTATGGGTATTGACGATGCCGAGATCGGCGAGTTTGCTGTATGTGCTCCAGACGATCTGCACCTTGAATCAGTTGAGCTAACAAGTTTCTTAGTACGACTATGTCGAAATCACTCGTGATGTGATCACCGGCGTTGAGGGCACTGAAGGCCTTGATAGCTCTTCCAAGCGGACAATCACCCCCACCGATGGCCACGAGGGCACCGTTGAAACGAAGGCTTGAAGCCTCTGTCAGACTCACTAATATTCCATGATACCCTATCGTTAATAATTATTGTCCACATTGATCGAGTCTGATTCTGTCGATCATGATCTTTTTGTATATACTTGCTGTTTCTCATTTGTATCTTTCGTCACGTTGGAAGACGCCCCTTGGCTATATAGAATATTCTATTTTCTTTGTCTGAAGTCATTAGAAAATTCAAGCATTATGCCTGATGTATCTTTCCAGGTAGGCTGGCTCGTTAGACCACTGTAGCATGCGTCAATGCCAGATGTTATTTTGCTGGTATGATGACCTTTGTGTGTAGGACAGTCTTAACAGCGCGGATATCAATTATGGATTGGCGGCGCCTAGGTACCTTTGCCCATTGCTATCAGTTGGAAAGTCTTGTTCCTGGAGAACCACCAGTCAACCTGTAGCAGTGGCCGGCTCAAATTGAAGAGATTAATATTAATGAAATACCTAAAGTCGTAACATTCGAAGGTTGCCCATCCGATTTGGAGTTCTCGTGGGACAAGGTGATGGCAGATGTCATTTCTTGCGGCCAATGATAAGCCGCGATTGGAGCTTCCATCGGTCGTCACCACCTAGAAATCCCCTTGGAGCTCGGAGCTAGGTCTCACCCCGCAAACCATTCCAATTCTTCAAAACAGATCACATACTGTTCTCTACATCTCCCGGTTTCTTCCCAATTGCTGCGTCCTCATATTACGTGTATCGGTCTCAGTCTTGCACAGATGGCATCACGAAGCCCCAGCGAAGAAGCTCCTAAACCGGCGCCGTTCAGCAACTTCCCACACGACCCGGCTGAATTCGACAGCGACCCCAGGATTTCCTTCTCGAAGCTGGACAACAAGTTTATACTGGAGACTGAAGACGGACAGGAGTTTGAATACGATACGGTGTTAAAACGATGGATTCCGACGGTGTGTGCGCGCTTCCTCTGCAGCTGGTCGATTCCCCTTGTGTCCTGCGATTGTTGAACTCTTTTCTTACCTTTATCTGTACCTCTCCCTTGTCATGAGTTCCATTCCTCCCACGCTGTATTTTTGCACCTGTCAAGCATCGTATCTGGGGCACAGCGTTTCATTGCAGATCCACCGCGATAGCCGTTGCTGCATGGGTCTTGGTCGGTTCGTGAAACTGATTGTGTGGTTGGCGCGACATTTCTGCGCCCGTGGGTATTCTCCAGGTCGACGATGACTTGCTCCAACAGCAGCAAGAAGCCTACAAGATTCAGGGGGTGGACGAAAATGAAGAAATCACAGCGCAACAATTGAGAAAGAAGCGGAAGCAGCAGGCCGGCGGAGATGAGGTCAGTGAAGCAAGCGATATGACCCCTTTCAATCCATACATGTAGCTACAGTGTCTGACTATTACATCGCAGAATACTGGTCAAAAGCCGAAGAAACAACGAGTCAACACCGCCGTGTTCGTTACATCTATTCCCCTGGACGCCGAGTTCGATGAGATCCGTGACGTCTTCTCCAAGTGTGGTGTCATCGCCGAGGAGATAGACAGTGGCCGGCCCCGAATTAAGATGTATATGGATGACAATGGCAAATTCAAGGGCGAAGCTTTGATCGTGTATTTCCGGCCGGAGTCTGTCAACCTCGCCATACAGATGCTGGACGACTCAGATTTTAGGTTAGGGGTGACAGGCCCGCAGGGACCGATGAAGGTCCAGGCTGCGGATTTCTCGTTCAAGAGCCAACAAGAGGCACCAGCAAAGACCAGCATGAGGGATAAGAAGAAGATCATCAAGAGGACTCAAAAGCTCAATAGGTCTGCCCAAGGAAAACCACGGGACTTGACGAGATATGGACTGACGTAGTTTTGCTAGCAAACTCGCTGATTGGAGTGACGACGAGCCATCAGCGATGACGGACACGAGCTCTAGATTTGAGAAGGTTGTCATACTCAAACACATGTTTACTCTGAAGGAGATCGAGGTATGATTCTCATTAAGGCTGCTTATGGGACGGAGTGATACTCACACTTCGTAGGAGGACCCAGCAGCGATCCTCGACATCAAGGAAGACATTCGGGAGGAGTGCTCCAAGTTAGGCGAGGTTACGAATGTCGTTTTGTATGACAGAGAACCCGACGGAGTTGTCAGCGTTCGTTTCATCGACCCTGAAGCCGCCAGACAATGTGTAAGAGTATGTTACGTTGGCTCATTTTGCTGCTACTTCACCGATTGCAAAGAACCATGCTCTAACAATTTTCTAGGTCATGGATGGCCGCTTTTTCGCCGGCACACGCGTCGATGCCTACATTTCAGATGGGAAAGAGAAGTTCAGAAAGAGCAACGAGAAGCGGGCAGCTCTGGAGGATATGGCGGAGAGAGGTCTTGACGCCGAAGACGAGGAAGAGAACGCACGGTTGGACGAATTTGGGACTTGGCTGGAAAGCTCCCGTGTGGTGGAAAATTCTGCCAAGTAGTGGCTTGTTGGAGGATTGTCACTTCTTAAACCTCTTTGACCCGCCTAGGCGTTGGATCCATGCGAACTGGATGTTGGCTGAAGAAGGAGGCCATTGATTCACAGCGCTTTGTACTGTATTATATAGCGGATTATGTACTCCGTGCATCTGAGCCAAAAGAAATGAGAATGGCCACGCTGATATGAAGCCATGATGATCAAATGGGACAACATCACTAGAACCCAGCAATTGCTATTGAAACAGACCCTCTCTTATTATTTATTGACACCCACTGTTTCCATTGCCGTTATGATGGAACGACTCCAATTCGTGGTTCGCGGTTGTTGTCGTTGTCTCAACTGTGGTTCGTTCCAGCGCGGAATGGCTGCTGACTGGTGTCCCGTGATAGAAAACTGCGCTAAACCATATTTGACCGTAGCCGCCCCTGATTATTTACTCAAAGCAAATGTTGACTTGTTTGTCTGTTGATCCCTGAGAGACCAGCCCGCACAACGAACAACTCCTTCTCTCCTCACCGCTCAACTTCAACCCAACTCCCCCTTCCCTTTCTCCATTCTTCCTCTCCGTCCCCATTTCTTCGACGGTCTCGCATCAGTCTTGTCCACTTTGAACTTTCCTATTCCATCCCTTTTTTCTTCCCATCCCAGCCTGTCTACAGTAACTCACCGCCAGAAACTCATCCACAATGCGTGAAATCGTATGTTGTGCCTAACCCCCCTGTTCCCGTCAGGAGACGCGTCGAATCGGGCTCCCTGGATGGAAAAACCCCACTCGTTCCTCAAGAATGCGGACCAGCTAACTTGCTCTTTTTCATTGTACAGGTTCACCTTCAGACCGGTCAGTGTGTAAGTACAACCCATCATGGTTGAGGGACTGTTATGGGAGAAGTGTACAGATGGCGTTTGCATTGAGCAGAGACTAAAGTCGATTCTTGGTGACAGGGTAACCAAATTGGTGCTGCTTTCTGGTATGTCTTGATCTCAATGCTCGGATGATGGAAGATGAGGACCAGGCTGTCCTCCATGGGCTCTGGTTCGCTGTCATGGGTATCAGCTGACAAATTTACAGGCAGACCATCTCTGGTGAGCACGGCCTCGACGGCTCTGGCCAGTAAGTTCGACCTTTGTCCTCCCAATTGAGAAAGCGGGGGAAACACGAAAGGCAAGCAGGAAGAGGACCCGTGTCTGATGGGGATAATAGCTACAATGGCTCCTCCGATCTCCAGCTGGAGCGTATGAACGTCTATTTCAACGAGGTGCGTGGATGAAACTCTCCGGTCGACGCTATTTCGGGCAACATCTCATGATCTGACTTGCTACCAGGCCAACGGTGACAAGTATGTTCCTCGTGCCGTCCTGGTCGATCTCGAGCCCGGTACCATGGACGCTGTCCGTGCCGGTCCCTTCGGCGAGCTCTTCCGTCCCGACAACTTCGTCTTCGGCCAGTCTGGTGCTGGTAACAACTGGGCCAAGGGTCACTACACCGAGGGTGCCGAGCTGGTCGACCAAGTTATCGATGTTGTCCGCCGTGAGGCCGAAGGCTGTGACTGCCTCCAGGGTTTCCAGGTCACCCACTCTCTCGGTGGTGGTACCGGTGCCGGTATGGGTACCCTTCTGATCTCCAAGATCCGTGAGGAATTCCCCGATCGTATGATGGCAACCTTCTCCGTTGTTCCCTCTCCCAAGGTTTCCGACACTGTCGTTGAGCCTTACAACGCTACCCTTTCCGTTCACCAGCTCGTTGAGCACTCCGATGAGACCTTCTGTATCGACAACGAGGTATGGGTGGATTGCTTGTCCAGAAAACAATGCGGAGACTGACTGATACACAGGCTCTGTACGACATTTGCATGCGCACCCTTAAGCTCTCCAACCCCTCCTACGGTGACCTGAACCACCTGGTCTCCGCCGTCATGTCCGGTGTCACCACATGCCTTCGTTTCCCTGGCCAGCTCAACTCCGATCTGCGCAAGCTGGCCGTCAACATGGTTCCCTTCCCTCGTCTGCACTTCTTCATGGTCGGATTCGCTCCTCTGACCAGCCGTGGTGCTTACACTTTCCGTGCCGTCTCCGTTCCCGAGTTGACCCAGCAGATGTTCGACCCCAAGAACATGATGGCCGCTTCTGACTTCCGCAACGGACGTTACCTCACCTGCTCTGCCATCTTGTATGTGTCTAGACCCCTGAAAATTATGCATGATCTCCCTACTGACGATAGTTTAGCCGTGGTAAGGTTTCCATGAAGGAGGTCGAGGACCAGATGCGCAACATCCAGTCCAAGAACCAGAGCTACTTCGTTGAGTGGATTCCCAACAACATCCAGACCGCTCTGTGCTCCATTCCCCCCCGTGGCCTCAAGATGTCCTCCACCTTCATTGGTAACTCCACCTCCATCCAGGAGCTGTTCAAGCGTGTCGGTGATCAGTTCACTGCTATGTTCCGTCGCAAGGCTTTCTTGCACTGGTACACTGGTGAGGGCATGGACGAGATGGAGTTCACTGAGGCTGAGAGCAACATGAACGATCTGGTCTCCGAGTACCAGCAGTACCAGGAAGCCTCCATCTCCGAGGGTGAGGAGGAATAGTAAGTCTTCCCAGATCTTTTTGCAGAGTACGTGTGCTGACTCTCCGCAGCGGCGAGGAGGAGCCCCTTGAGGCTGAGGAGTAAATCATTTCTCTCTAGCCTTTCAGTGACGTGAATTGAGATCTGTTCACAGTAATACCCCTGATACATAAGTCTACTTTCTCTCTGGCCTTGGCCTCGCTCACAGGCTGCTGCTGCCATACTGGAATATTTTGCTCGAGCGTTTTTAATCTTCCTGTTCTTAATTTCTTATGGCCGCCAGGGCCTCTGAAAGTATTGGACTCAAATAGCACAAAGTTCAAAAGTATTGTCCGCAATTCTTCGTCAATGGTTCGCCGGGGCAGGTTAGAAATAACTTCAGTATCTTCTATGAATATCAACTCGAACTATAGGACGGTGTCTGTTTCTGGCAACATGATGGAAAACTTTCATCCACAGCTCATTTGTGTCTACTCTTGTCCCCTTCTGTCGGAAGACCAGTTTTGCGTCACTGTTAGTGGATAGGCTGCGAGTAGACCGAACCATGCTATCTGTGGAATTTGTAATTGGTATAATCAGTGCTCGAACGGAGATAGGATCGAGATTAATTCATCGAACAGTGTATGACATGTCTTGCTAGAACAATCGGCTGGCTGCAGAGAGTGGGTATATTGGCACATTTACGAAGCACATGGCGCCATCCATTTGCAGTACACAACGTACGTAACGCAAACAGGCCAGGTAACGGGTCCCGTCAAATTTCAAATGAACGGACATTTCCCCGTCCTGGAGACTTTCAGCTCCTCCATGGTCTTCTCCAGTGACTGTCGGCCCTTCCCTTCAAAGTACTTTGGCCCCACGTCGGGAATGTAGTAGCCCTGCGGGTAGTACTTATCGCCCATGTCGCCGGGGACCGGCTTCCCCAGAGCCCAGGTCAGCCAGGCGGTTGGGCCCCAGCGGTTCCAGAAGGTTGGCTTGACGTAGTAGGGGGCCGCGTCCCATTGCGTGATGAAGATGCGGTTGTGGTCGTCTGGTTGCTCTGTGAAGGCTGTGTAGCGCAGGAAGTAGGGACGGGGGAGGGCGAGGTAGCGCATGGCGAAGCGGCGGGCGCTGAGGAGAAAGGAGAATACTTTGGCGTAGGAGGCGGGGGGAGGTTCGTACCTTGGTTTTATTTTTGCGAGTTAGTTGTGCTGGGCTGGGGAGGAGATAAAGAACGTGCTTATGCTTACAGCATGGCTTTCCGTAGGCGATTGTCCATCATGAACGAGACGAACTTCAGCCCGACATGCTGCAACGGGCGGGGGATCATATACACCAGCACGGCGGTGGTCTGGTCGGCCGTCTCACGGTTCTTGATGTCCGGAAGCATGCATCGGACTTCGTAGTCATCGCTCCAGGCCATGATCTCCTCCAGCCAGTGGAGGCCGTCGCGGAACCCCGTCTTGCTTGAGGGGAGGTTCTCGTAGCTGATGCCCAGCCCGTCACCGAGGCTCTTCCAGAAGGTGCCGATGGCGCATTTCTCCATGTCGCTCAACGTACGCCATTCGAACTTCTCGATGAACCGGACGGGCTGGATAGCGAAGAGGCTGAGCGTGTACAGCATGTCGTCTTCCTGGATTTTGCCCGAGGCGCGGTACCCGCTGTGCAGGAAGCGGGTGCGCGCTATGGCGGTGCAGGCGCGCTCTGACGAGGGGGCATTCCCGATGAATTCCTGGACCAGGGCGCTGGTGTCGGTGTAGCGCTTGAGAGATGTCTCTGGGTTCGAGAATTGGCTGGTTGCCGTCAGGACCCTGGAGATAGTGGGGATGCCGTACGTCTGTCCAGTATCTTAGTTGACTGCCCATATCAAGTGCATCGATCAAGAATGAGTGAATGACTGACCCTGAAAAGCGCAAATTGTAGCGCTTTGACGAAAAAGAAAGGAAACTCCTGCTGCAATAGGACCTTTTGAATCTCCCACGCTTCGTCATCGGTCATGCGAGCAAAGGACTCGCGGGTTGGGAAATTGTACTTGCGATGGAGCCATCGCATCCAGCGGAAACGGAGAAAAGAGCATAGCACTGGATATGCCGCAAGGCCAGCAAGGATATAGGGAGCCAGCCGGCCAAAGGAGAAGTGTGATACATCAGTGGTGAGAACTGCCAATGGGCCACTCTTCAACCCTGCTGCGAGTTGCTCGATGATTTTCTTCATCACTTTCACCTTATCATAAACAGATATTGACCTGAGAGATGATGAAGGAAATATATCCTCCTGATTGGGATCAGTTGACTCCAAGTAATTGCCAAAGGAGCTAGCAGGAGCGGTGTGCCTAAGTGTTCAGAGAGCCCCTTGGAAGTGGAAAGTGATGTTGATTCACAACTATTAGGACGGATATAGACTAATGATAACGAATACTGGATTCAGTCTTAATTCGAATTTGATAGAGGATATCATTCA